TAGGAGAGAAGTTATAAACTGGGATTATTTATGCTTTGAACTATTATTATCATAGTGCACCGATATGGGTTATTAACTATGTTAATTTACTTTCACTATATTTTTTTCCTGCATAATTCTTCTTCTGAAAGTTGCTATTTCAGAATTAAATGTTTTAACATCTGTCTTGACATTGTGTTGGTGTTAAGACATCAGTCTTGACATATGTATTGCAAGTTCCAGAATTTCAATTGACATCAGAGCAGGAACCCTATTCTAGTTATTAGGTGAGCTCCAAGAAGAAGAATTTCTGATACTATGGATAAAGAAGGAGGATACAACAACAGACTAGCTATGTTAGATTGTTCAAACTATGATTCAGGGAAAGTTAAAATGGTAGATTTTCTAAAATCCATGGACAACAAAGCTTGGAAGGCTATTTTGAAGGGATTGGAACATTTTGTTGAGAAGGACAAATATGAGAATGTATCTTTGAAGCCAGAGGAAGATTGGAATGATGAGGATGATAAATTAGCTTTTGGAAATTCCAAAGTCTTGAATGCTTTATTCAATGTAGTAGACAAGAATGTGTTCAGGTTGATTAATAACGGTATCTGTAGCCTAAGATTCTTGGGAAATCCTCAGACCAACTCATGAAGGTACATCTAAAGTAAAAATATCATGTGAAGGTTCTTAAAATAGAAAATGCATCTAGTGCATTGGGAGAAAAGATGTCATAACAAAAGCTTGTTAGAAAGATTCTTAGGTCCTTACTTAGGAAATTTGACATGAATTTAACTACTATTGAAGAAGCTCAAGACATCAACACCATGAGAGTTGATGAACTTGTTGGGTCACTTCAAAATTTTGAATTGACTATTAGTGACATGTCTGAGAAAAATAACAAGATCATAGCCTTTGTTTCCAATGTTGTAGATGAAAAAAGCCAAGTTGATCTAAATATTGATGAAGGTTTGTCCAATACCATTGTATTACTTGGGAAACAATTAAATAGAATTCTAAAGAAAATGGATAGAAGAGGAAGACCAAATGTTCATAACATCTCATTTGACATCAATAATAACTATGATGCTCAAAAGAATACCAGAACTGAAGACAAGTTACATCAAAGCAAAGGTGTTCAATATTATGAGTGTGAATGTTTTGATCATATTAGGCCAGAATGTCCCAACTTTCTCAAGAAGCGGAAAAAGGGGTTCACAATATCTTGGTCTGATGATGATGAGTCAGAAGATGAATCAAACACTAAGACTATAAAACTGGTGATGGCTCTTTCTTGAAGATGGGCAAATGAAGTGGAAGTTTATGATGAAAATGTCCTTTATGAAGATCTGGATGTATCCTACAAGGATACTTGTGACAGGTGTGAAAAATTCTTAAGACAATATAAGAATAGAGAAAGATAATATTTGAACTAGAGAATGAAATGAAGGAACTTTTATGTACTGTTTCTCATCTACAAAGTGAGGTAACTCTCTTAAATTACAAGGTTAATAACATGACAAATTCCTTGAAGAAGATGAAAAGTGGAGCTGATTGTTTACCAGTGATTTCTGACAAACAACCGCTAGTCTTCCAAACTCTATGTTTTGGTAACTTACAGGATCAACTAGATTGATCCTAGGATATGTGTCTTAGTGTTGTTACAATTTGACTTTAAAGTTTGATATAATAATAAGGTCTTTCTACGTGATTATGGTTATTTCAAGATGTTTAAAATTTGGCTATGAATATTAAATATAACTTTAAAGGAAATGATCTGAATGTTTATAAAAATGTAAAGAAAAATGCTTATAAAATAAGTTCGACAAAATTTGTTAAAAAAGCTTGACTGGAAACAAAAAGGAATAAGGAAAACAATTAAAATAACTTTGTAATAAGAAAACAACTTTGAATAAAATGATGGCGTTCTTACACATACATTATCAACAAACTCTTTTCTCTCGCTCCGGTACTTTGAGTATATGAGTGATTTGTATACAATGTGAACACCTTTAATCCTAACATCTAAGACTCCTATTTATATTGATTCGACCCTAACGTTCTTTCTATGAGATTATGCCACGTTCGACATTTTTACATGCAAACATTTTGGCACTTCCATGCGTCCTCTTGGCGAAAATACACCAGTTTGAAACTTAAACTCTTCCCGCTTGAAGCTTTTTGAATTCAACCAACATGATTGTCGAAGTAACCTTCACATATCTTGAAATACTCTTTTTGACTTTAAGTTGCTCTTCGACATATCGAACTAAAAAAAATGAGCTTTATAAAATAACCTTATAAGGCTAAGTTTCATGTTATCTTTTAAAACATGATCTTATCAAATCAACTTTCACATTTTTATCAAATGTCGAAATCTTTAGATAACAAATTGCCCCCAATAAACGTCTATTTTGAAACAATGCAAAAATGGACATTTTTTTGTAATCACCAGATTTCGACTAGCAACCTTTCATTTTCCTTCAATTCCTGACGTCACAGTTAATCATGACTGCTTTCCCAAAACGTCTCATCAAGACATGCGTGCAGCAGTTTCACCATCATTATATAGCAACTCCCAAGAACATGAATAATGATCTTTCACTTTTCTTCATCAGATATTGACACGTGTCCCACTAACTTTCTGAGGTGTAACCCCTAACTTTTCCACTTACCACTATAAAAAAGTTCTCTCTTTTATTATTTCTTTTTCTACTTTTTGCAAACCCAGAAATCTTCATACTCTCTCTGATTTACGCTCTCATTCCTTCTTGAAAGTTTCACCAGTTCTTCAAATCTGCAACAATGTCTTCTGGTAAACAAGATTCCAAGCATGCTGAGAAATTTGAAATGTCCAAAGGTTCATCTTCTCAAAATGTACCAACCAGCAAAATCATCACTTCTGGGAATCAAGAATTTATCACACCTCCAAAACTTACTCGGGAACAAAAAGCCATTTATGCTTCTCAGGTATTAATCCCTTCTTCGTTTTCTGGTAAAACCTTAGGTTTCTTAGGCTCTTTAAACGCTACAGAAAATTTAGAAAAATATGTGAAATTCTTTCCAACTTATCATGCTACCAAACCCTTAGCAAATAAAATTGCAACTTCTAAAGTGAACATTGAGGATTCTACCAAGAAACCTAAAAAGACTTCTAAGAAAACTTCTGAGAATAGTATATATATATATATATATATATATATATATATATATATATATATATATATATATATATATATATATATATATATATATATATATATATATATATATATATATATCCGAATTTACCTTATTGAAATTTTCAGATATGTATTTTCGAAATTTTCAGATATATATATGGTAATTTTTTAGGTCTAAAGTGACTTAATACTTGTATAAATAGGGTGTGTCTCAACCCTTATTTGTTACACAACACACTAAAATCAGAGAATGAGTTCATATCTCCACCTTGCATTTGTGTATTTCAATGGCGAGAAATCACCACTTCTGTTTAGGATCATTGAGGAAACATCCCTAGCAGACCTGATATCTAAATTGAATATTCTATTGCGCTTTCTAGAAAATCATAGAGTTATTAAGCTCGAGTATCGGTCACCCTCGTTTGACAAAGAAGAGAAGGTCCATTTCACCAACATTGAAGTGAAGATAGTTGAAGATTTAAAGGTTATGTGGCGTATTTTTCTCCGTTATGAATCTAAGGGTCTGATTGAAGTGGATGCGAAGATTCAAAATTCTCGTCGAGGATATAATCATTATGTTGCAACGTCTCGATGAAATGGTTATGTAATATTGAATTTATTTTTGTGACTATCTATGCAATGAATATTTTATTTAATGAAATGTTGATGTTGACGTTGGTTTATTTTTTATTTTCGTTCATGTTGTCTCATATTTTTTATTTCTAAAACCAGATCATGTTCAGAGATATATTTCTGAACACATCCTTAAAAAGACTCTGGATATATATTTTCGAATTTTTTTATAAAAAAAATATTTGATGCGTCTAAAAATATATCTCCGAAAATCTAAAATATTTTAAATATTCCACACAAAATTTGAGAAAATGCATGAGGGTGCAATGAAACATCGCTAACATTTATATCTACCACTTCTAAAAGTTTAAACAAAACAAAAGGAGGAAAAAGAATTAAAGCAATAGTAAGTTGGTAACTATCCTATCCATCAATTCAACTTCTTGACTTGTATCTAAAGTCACGTTTAACCAACTTAACATGCACTTAACTAAAACAACATTTTACATTAACAAAACATTGGTTGTGTTTGTGCCAACAAGGTAAGAACTTGAGTGTCCTAGTGTTCCTCTTTTTTTATTCATTCTTTGAAATATTCTTTTGATTTTTGACTCCAATCAAAAAAGGAAAGAAGATGCAAAGTTTAGAAGTCATGTTTGGTGTATTTTGCTAACAAGTAAAAACCATTTAAGGATTATGAAGTCAAATATTTTAAAAACCTATTCATACATAAAACCAACTATATTAAAGTTTCATTGCTTTTAAGTTGGTTGAATCATGACAAAACTGCAATCAATTTAAATAATTGAAGTGTAAATATTGTCCATGTAACACCAATACCTTTTAAAAAAAACGTGTTTGTGTCTTTGTTGGAGATTTGTATCGACATTTATACTTACTTTTAATTTAGTTAAAAGTCAAAGCTTCCTTGTTTTGTTTTGCTTTACTTTACTTCATGTGATAAACTACCTAACATTTGTTTGAAGTTGCGTGTGCTAGGCTCTAATTCCTTTTATGTTTGTGGTTTGTTAGGCAAAGAAGAATTTCACAAAGTTTGATCAATCTATTCCTATAAAGAAGAAAGAAAAATAACCATTTTAAGTGTTTGAAAACCAAAGTTAGGCAAAAATTCTATGCTATTCTTTGATTCCATCTATCTTTCTTTTCTTTGAATGCGTTCTTTATACTACAACTGTTCAATCTAGAAACTTGTTTTAGAGAAAGGAAAAATAAGAAAGTTGAAGAGTTTTTGTGAGCAACAAGATGTGGCAAAGAAGCATGAAATTGGAGCTTAGACTTGGTCCACCAGGTGAAGAGGAGTGTGTCAATGAAAAAAGTATGAAAATTGTTAAAAAAGAAAGAGATGAACATGAAGATTCATCACTAACTCTTGGTTACTCTTCAAAGAAAGATTCAACTTTTGATTTGTCTAATGCTAAAGGTTCTTCATTTCTTCAACTCTCATCAATGCAAGGGGTTGAAAAGGATGCATCACAATCACAACCTTGTTGCACAAACTTGCAGGATAAAGAGAAGAAAGCATTCTCACCTACTGCAAAAATATCAGATTTTCCTAATAGGTCTCAGAAAAGGTACTACTATGTTTAATATTGCTTTTTCTCGCGGTTTTAAATTGCGGTCTGCATCTGATTCCAATACTAAGGTTTTTTAGTTTCAACCATAATTTAGTAGAAACTTATATGTAAATTTTGATTGTTGTTGCTGATATATCATTTAATTTGATCCATCTCAAACAGAAATTCAACTAGTACAGCAGTTGGTTGGCCTCCGATTCGTTCTTTCAGGAAGAACATTGCAAGCGGAAGCTCGTCTAAACCACCTACGGAGCCGCGGCACGTGATTCAAGACAAGGTTGCTGCTGGTAACAAGCCTATTAGAAACTCTAGTAAAGGATTGTTTGTGAAGATCAACATGGATGGAGTTCTTATTGGAAGAAAAGTAGACATCAATGCTTATGACAGCTATGAAAAACTTTCATCAGCTGTAGATGAACTATTCAAAAGTCTCATTCCAGGTAATATTTGGATTCGTTAAATCCTAAACCCTAAAGATTCATATCATACGTTAATAATATTTATCAACTCCGTCTCAAGTTTTTGGACGCTGTGTAGATTAGGACGCCCTGTGTAGATTAATTGTTGGACAAAACAAACAGAGGTTATTTTTAATTTTGATTTAACTGTGTCAAATTTTAGACCTTATGAGATAGTCTGTCTTGCATGATTTCAAAGACGATATAAAAAGTCACATATGATTGGTTGCGATTGCTCATATGTAAATTTCTTTACACAGACCATTGTATCATGATTTCTATATGGCCTTTTAAGACAATTTTACTATAATTATTCTCTCTAAGCTCACATAAAAATTGTGATAATGAAAACTTATGCAGAGATAAATCTATCTCATATTGTCTATTCACACTGCTGTTCTGCTCAAAGAGATTCATCTGATGATGGAACTAACAAGAAGCAAGAGGAAGAAAATAAAGGTATGATGAAAGGTTCATTGATTGGAAGTGGAGAATATAGTCTTGTTTATGAAGATAATGAAGGTGACAAGATGCTTGTAGGGGATGTGCCATGGCAGTAAGCATTTTTCATCTTATTCTATTCAATGTTTTACATAGTTTACAAAATTCACATTTGGATGTGTTTGTTTGGCAGCATGTTTGTATCAACAGTTAAGAGACTGAGAGTGTTCAAGAGTTCTGACCTTCCTACTTTTAACAGTGAGTTTTTTTAAGTCTTTTCAACTTCTCAACAAGAACTAATAATTCTCTATTATTTCACTTTGATTTTGTTTTGGTTGTGTTGAATGATTGAATAATTTTTGTTATTCTCAGTTGGTAGTAAGAAAGACTAGATTGAAGGATGAGGCTAATTGAGGTTTTCTTCATTGGAACTTGAAGATGGAAGAGTAGAGTGATTATTATTCACATTTTAGTTGCTTTTTGTATTGAAGTAGATTAGGGAATACTAATACTAATTATAACTTCAAATAATGTGTATGAATGTAACCTTTTGTTAATCATGATTTAAATTATAGACACTTCTACTAATATTGAGGGAAACTTGTTTAGAATATTGAGGGTAAAAATAAATAGTCCTATTTGTACAAGTATGTTAAGATAGAAAATCAACAAAATACAAAATAATAATTTTGTTATAAAGAGTTTTTCCTCCATAATAATCAGGCCTAAAATCGTCTTGAAGGAGATTAATTTGGCTTACTATACGTTAGGCAAAATAAAAATGCTTTTTACATTGTGAATATCAATTAATGTCCACACTGGTTTGTTAATATTAGGGGCAATGGATTGGGCTGGACTCGGTTTAATTTTGCACAAACCCATGTTACATACGGTTTAATTTGGTACATATATTTTAAAATAGGGTTGCTCTTTTCACTCTTATACGGGCATATCACATTTTTGAAAATCTACATCTGTCTTTTAAGAGTTCAGAAATACATCTCTAGATGCACCTAAAATCATGCTAATCTTTTCTTTTTTGAGTTACACTCTAGTTATGAAAAAAATAGTTCAGAGATGCATCTAAGTATACTATTTGGGCGTATTTGGAGATGCATCTCTGAAATACCTTCTGCACTCATTTATGGGATTTTGTTATTTACGCAATTGGTTTTGTTATCAAACGCGAAGGTTGATAAATCACCGCATTGCATGAGCTTCTTTTTCATGCTAAAGCAAGCAACCATTGCAAAAAAATAAAACCCTAGAAAAAAACTCTCTCATTCTCGATCATTTTTTCAACACCAAAACATTATTCTTGTATTTCATCACTTCAAAGGGAGTAAAACAAGCTAGAATTGCAGGTATAGATTATTATTTTCTATTGGAAGTACATAATAATTCAAATGTGTGGTATAAGTTTCTGGGAGCATTTTGGAGGCTTCAGCTTAAAAAATAAGCACTTCTAAAAACTGAAATTTGGATTTTACGGGTTGGTAACCAGTTACTGGGTTTAGCGTAACCGGTTACAATAGGCCAATTCAGTTTTGTCTTTTGTGGTTATCATAGGCGTAACCGGTTACACCATTTTGGATATCGTTTCAAATGATGGAGTTTCCACCAACCTACTGATTCTTGATTCGAAGAATTATGACAAGTCGTAAAAAATAAAGGTTTTGTTTGGATATCAAGACGTTCTTAAGGTGATCAATAATAGAGTTAGTCCACTTGGAGCAGAAGCTACAGATGCTCAGAAGGCTGCATTTAAGGAAGAGAAGAAGAAAGATTACAAGGCACTCTTCTTGATTCAACGGATTCTCAGAAGGCTGCATTTAAGGAAAAGAAGCAAGATTACAAGGCACTCCGCTTGATTCATTCTTGTGTCGATGGCGACAACTTTGAAAAAGTTGGTGATTCTAATTCGGAGAAGGGAACTTGGGAGAGCTTAGAAAAAGCTTATGCAGAGGCTGATAAAGCAAAGATGGTGAGGTTACAAACTCAGAAGAGGCAGTTTGATTTGACTCAAATGGAAGAGAAGGAGACGATAAATGATTACGTAACGTGAATTACACGTTTGGTGAACCAAATTAAGTTTTGCGTAGAAACTGTTTTGGAGCAGAATGTTGTGTCGAAGATATTACATTCTTTAACATTGAGATTCGACAACATTATAGTGGAAATTGAAGAAGCGAAGGACCTTTTGACATTGAGCAAAGATGAGTGTAATACGGTGGGAGAACGGACTTTTGGTTGTGTTTTAGCACAAATGTTGCGGTTAGCAAGATTATTTATCGTAGGCAACTTCAGGGGACATCGCGGGACTAAGATCTTTATGATGACTTTAACCGAGGGTCTTTGCTAATGGTATCCCTACGTTCGAGGGACATGACCATTATTTTTTTTGAAGGCAACAGAGAGAGAGGCTATCTTAGAGGTGTACGTGTGCATAATGATTCAATTCAAATATATTATCTTGATTAGGGTTTTCTAAGTTTTGGTCTTAGATCTTATCATACATGCCTAATTCCTATACAATTATATATATACATGTTGGGGAGAGATTATTAGGAGCATTGATGCATAGTGTAGGAACAAGCACCTTTGAGAGAGATACACCAATTCTCCACCTAAAACCTTAAGGTGATAGGTGAGTGGATTAACACTCCCCCTCAAGTGTGAGTCCACAATGCTCCCCCACTTGTACCGCACCACTTCTTGGGCGAATTTCGATACAAGTTCCTTCCGGTCCCTTTCTCAAACTAAAGGCTCATGATACCATGTTGGGGAGAGATTATTAGGAGCATTGATGCATAGTGTAGGAACAAGCACCTTTGAGAGAGGCACACCAATTCTCCACCTAAAACCTTAAGGTGATAGGTGAGTGGATTAACAATACAGGCATACATAAGTGCGGAAAGTAAAGTGCGGGAAAATAAACTTAGGCTATTACATCCCATGAGCAGTTACATAATAGAAAAAAACGCGAGAAAATAAACTAAGCTATTACAAAATCAATCGTGCGACCTATACATTTGTTTTATAGAATTTAAACAACAAATAAAAAAAATTAGAAGAAGATATTTAAAACCTAAAAACAAATTTCTAAGTGTTAGAAAAATATTTTTGATGTTAATGACAATTTAAACCTAATTTTAAATTAATTAGAAGTTTAATTAAGTTAATTTAAAAAATACCTAATATCTAATTATTTTTAAATACAAATTAATTAATAAAAAAAGCTAAGCCTAATTATTTTTAAATACAAATTAGTTTTTGTATTTTAATTAAATTAAATAAATGAATAAAAATTAAATAAAAAAAATACAAAGAATAGAAGAAAAAAAGATATTGGGCCTGGTATAAAGAAAATTTGAGGGTGCTGAAAGGAAAGAAGTTTAGGCCCAAAGGAAGATGTCCAGCGATCCAGTGTGTTGCTCCAAGCAAGTTCATTGTGGGCACGCAAGCTCTATCTGAATCTTTTGAAGATCCAAGGGTGATGACGAGAAGGATGCATAGTGTATGCATGAGGCTGGCTTCACTGGATTTGCAAAAATTATAAAACATGAAAAAAATTGTTCCACGCCAGGATCAAACCCGTGTATGGGCATGATAATGTCTTAGAGGCAAGTGCGCTACCACTGGGGTGGCCATACATCCGGTGATTAAAACACAACAAAATCAATAAATAATAAAACAACATTTATATTTGAATTAAAAAACAAAATATTGGTGCCAGTTGGACCCTGCATCAAATGTTAACCAATCAACAATTCCTAAAGCTCCACGCCATGGCCAATCCGTTCAAGGAAAGTTTGACTGATGGAGAAGTGACTGGAACCTAAGTCCGGTCATCTTCTCCGACGAGCCCCGACACCAAACCTTCGAATCAAGTGAAATTAAAACGAAAAAAGAACCCAATCCCCCTATTTTAGGGTCTATGAATTCAACGATTCCCTCCGTTTTGGCTAAGGATCCCTGTATCGTGAGTTTCAAAGAAAACACCCTAACTCGATTTAAAAATGGAAAATCAAGATCTGGACTTCATAAACTCCATGTAACGACTGTATCATGTTCTAAAAATTCATATGAACTGGTTTGGATGGTTAGAAACATTCAACAATGTATGGAATTAAAAAATATGAATGAAAAAAAATCAAAAACCGACCATGGGCTGTATGCATGTTTCAAGCACGGGCATACAAAATCATCCATTCTCACCCTACAGAGGTTCAGGATGTATTTTGAATTATTGTCTTAGGCTGCGAATGCTTGGAATTTTAACTTTGAACTCTTGCTTTTCTTGAGAATTTTGTGATCTTTTTAGGGTCTGAGTTGTTGTGGTATTTATAGGCCATGGAATTGAGTAAATAAATATGGTACAATATCATACAATCATGGCCAAAATCAAACAAAAATCAAACATGTTTTCAAGCTTTCGTTTTTAGAGATTCTTGCCATTTTTGAGCTCACACTGTTTTGTATCCTTTAGGCATCCTCCATCCATTTTCTCACTTTGCACATAAAAAAAGGAATAAATTTCACATCCTCAAGATCATTTTGGAAAAATAATGGGCTCAAGGTGATAAAAATTGACCAAGTTATGATCATTTAAAGTCACACATGGGAAGTTGGGGGTTCATCTAGAGGACTTGTAATCTTTCTTCATCATCAAGTTTCTTCCACATGAAAATTCCTTGAAACTTTTGAAGTGATTTGTTATTAACCCTTTAAATAGAAGGACGTTTTTGGAATCACTCAAAAATACCAAAAGATGAGCAAGATATACTTCTTTGAAGTTTAAAACCCTAGCTCCTAGATCAAGAAAATTCTTTGAGGAACTTTGACAATTTTAAACAACCTTCTTGTACCAACACTTTTTCTTTGTAGATAGAAGTTATTGAGGATGATAATGAGAACTCATACAACTAAAACCACTTCCATATCTTGAGAATTGAGAGAAATATGCACTTGTGACCAATGGGAACAAGGCCTTTTTCAACCATGACAACTTCTTCAATCAACCCCTTGTACTTTTGAATCAATCTTGATAACTTTGAAATGTGGTGAACCAAAATAAACCTTGCCATACCATTTCTTTCAAAACAACTTCAATTGTGAGGTTTAAATTTCTCAAGCTTTATTGACTAGGGCATGGAAATAAACTCATAAACCCATGGATCAACTTGCTAAGCCACATTGCCTTTACCTACATCATTAACAAGTGAGACAAACCAACATTGCATTTTATTAATTAAAAGGAAAGTCAAAGCAAAACATGCATGATCACAAAAGAAAAACAACTCAAGGTGCTTGGTGATTCATCAAATAGAAAATCTAAAGATAGGGAGGATAACCAAAAACCCTAATGTGATCTTGTTGTGATTAAATCAATATGGTATGATGAAGGAATCTTAGGGGCGAAAATTAGGGTACAAAACATATCAAACATACATACATACATTACATTCAATCATATATGCCCATGAAAACTGCGAAAAATCTCAAGGCATGACTACCAACTAAGACGAACTCAAATTCAAATCCAAGCTTAGCATTATCCATTCATCTTGCTATCACTATAGCTACCTAGGTTGAGAATGGACAACCATCAAAGGTACCACTATCAAAATTTCACTAGGCAGCTTACCTACGATTCATATCCAAGGCCTAGTCATCACCAGCCTCCGAGCATTACACTTGCAATTATCAAATTCAAACTTTTCAAGATTCGAACCTATCAAAACATTCAATTTCATTTGGTTATCATGTTAATCAAGCCTCAGTTGAGAACAGACACAACAGGCTTCATTAGCAAAGAATTTGGGGTTTATTTCTTCATGATGATAGTCTTGGTTCAGGATAGACACAACCGGCTTCATCAGTGAATTTAGGGTTTATTTCTTCATGATGATAGTCTTGGTTGAGGACTACACAACCAACTTCATTAGTGAATTTGGGGTTTATTTCATCATGATGATAGTCTTGGTTAAGGATAGACACAACCGACTTCATCAGTGAATTTGGGATTTATTTCTTCATGATGATAGTCTTGGTTGAGGACAGACACAACTGACTTCATCAGTGAATTTGGGGTTCATTTCTTCATGATGATAGTCTTGGTTAAGGACACACACAACCGACTTCATCAATGAATTTGGGGTTTATTTCTTCATGTTAATAGTCTTGGTTGAGAACAGACACAACCAACATCATCAGCGAAACTTCTGTTTCAATCTTCAAACCTATCATTTTTTATGCTAAACAATTACCTTGGTTGAGAACAGACACAACAAGTAAAAATCCGATCTCATCTCTGATTTAGTTATCTAAGATTCGATCATTAAAAATAGCTTTTTCTACGATATAACCCATTGCGTCAGTCTCCATGCAACAATGTGGGAAATACGTGATATAACCCATTATGTTAATCTCTATGCAGTAATGTGGGAAATCCGTAATATAACCCATTTCGTCAGTCTCCATGAAGTGATGTGGGAAATCTACGACATAATTCATTGTGTCAGTCTCCATGCAGCAATGTTGTTATCAAGCTTTTTCAATCATCTACCCCTAAGTTGTGGTAGATGTGTGAATTTACGGTTCATATCATTCATTCCCTAGGTTGCAATAAATACGTGAATTCATCCTCGGATTGTTTTCTCTCTCAGTTGTAGTAAACATAATGAAGTCGGAAATATAACTCATTGTGTCAGACTCCATGCAGTGATGTAGTTATCAAGCTTTTTTTCAATTATATATCCCTTAGGTTGCGATAGATATGCGAATTTTCAGGGTTACAGTATTCATCCCCTAGGTTGTGATGAATAACGTAAGCCCGCCCTTGTTGTCTTTTATCCCCTAAGTTGTGATAATTACACAGGTTCCTCCTCTGCGATATAACCCATTGCATCAGTCTTCATGCAACAATGTGAGAAATCTGCAATATAACCTATTGCATCAGTCTCCATGGAGCGATGTGGGAAATCCGCGATATAACCCATTGTGTCATTCTCTATGCAGTAATGTGGGAAATTTGTGATATAACTCATTGCATCAGTCTCCATGCAGTGATGTTGTTATCAAGCTTTTTCAATCACCTACCCCCTAGGTTGTGGTAGATGTGCGAATTGTCGATTCATATTATTCATTTCCTAGGTTGCAATGAATATGTGAATTCATCCTCGGATTGTTTACTCCCTAGGTTGTAGTAAACATGATGAAGTCAGCAATATAACTCATCGCGTTAGGCTCCATGCATCGATGTTGTTATCACGCTTTTTTTCAATTATCTATCCCCTAGGTTGCGATAGATATGTGAATAAATCTGCATAATCCATTGCATCAGTCTCCATGCATCAATGTGTTATCAGACTTTGTTTTATTTATCCCTCAGGTCGCGATGAATAGACAAAATCAAATCAAATCAAAACTTACTATATTAGTCTCCAAGCATTAATAAGTCAACTTTTTCAAAACTTGTATTTTTGTAAATATGCAAAAGAATCTACAATCTCTTAGATACTAACGAGTTATCCACGTCGTCGTGTCTAAGTTCTATAAAAAAAGTTTTGGTTCAAACGCTGGTAAGATGATACATCATCATCTATGCCCACTATTTGTACCCATGGGAACAATGTACAATGTATCCTTATAATCATTCAACTTGTATTGTTTACCTCCTAGGTCATGGTAAATACGCAAAAAATTACAATCTCTTTTCTAGGTATTGGCGAGTTATCTGCGTCGTCATATCTAGGTCAAACTTATTCTTCGATCTCTCTATTCAAACTCGGATAGGATGATACATCATCATCTTTGCCTAGTTCTCGGTGCTCTTGTGTATGCTATATCAGTGTATCCTTATCTAGCCAACCTTTGTCCAAATTTTGAGGTCTTCCATTATTTAATAAACCTCCAATTCAAATCTGCGAGATCTGCACATTCTCGCACCATTCAATCGCAGAGTGATTAAATAGGGGCAACTTTCATACCCAAAATTTTCCTGCCATTAGTGCTACCGTTAAATTTATTTTCGAACTTGGGTTTTAAATTCTTTTGGTTTAAGTACATTAATATTTTGGGGTTTTTTTAAATATTCGCTTCCAAGCCTATTTAAAAATATAATGACTTATTTCAGTTCATTTGTATTTTTGAATAACTAAATACTTGTTCGTCTTCATTTACTTTCAATTGGCTTTTTATTTTGAATAAATAATATAACACAATTGGTAAGGAGTTAAGCTTGCAAGTATGATGTCATAGGTTTGAATCCTGTGTGTTTCATTTTAAACATTTTTTCTTATTTTTTTGTTACTACTTTTCTTTTGTGGAGATCAAACTTTGAGATTCTCTTAAGTTTTTGGATAACTTACTCCCTATGTTTGTTTTAACCTAACTCAAGTATATAAATAGGACCTTAATTTATCCTAGTTTGACACACACAATTCATCCACAATTTTTCATAATCCACAATTTTTACATTCTTCGCTAACACGATTCTGACAGTTCCACAAATTTTACTCACACTTTAATTTTTTTTTCTTTTAACGAATTTATTTTTTTCAAAATTTCTTTTACTATTGATGTTTTTGACCGATAATTTCATATGAGAACATTATCTTTTATCTTCAATTCTTTATTTTTAATCACCCGATATCAAACTCATGATATTTTAATTTATTATATTTCTTTTTGTAATAACATTTTTACAACATAAGAAAACCTTTAACAATTCTTTTACACACTTTTTATACAACATACACTGACACATCCAGAAAACCTTTGTCAAATTAGTCAAAGCATTACCAATTTATACTCTTCTATCTCACACACGTATTGTTAGTGAGCCAAATCCAACATGCTTTTGTTCATCCAATTTCAACCACCATGAAATCTTCATTCTCATACCTTCTTTACACATATTCATCGTCACATCAAATTTCAACAACACTAATCATATATTTGTCAAAGATCTCACACCAAAAGCAATCTCATGAACAACACAATTCAATATTCGAGCCTCAAACTCTAACATTCTTAATACTCATTAACAAAATCTGAAAAGAATTTGTCAATGTGATTTAAGTGTGTTTTTTGCAGGAAAGAAGGAAAGAAGGAAAACAAGAGAGGAGGAAGGAACGGGGCCGATCCGAACATAACTATCACAATAATAAGCATCTTTTAGAGCTGTGACTTCCGCCCTCAACTAATTTGTCCACACAAGCGAGGCTAGCCGCTCCACCCATCACCAATCACCGTCGAATCCTCTCAGTTCTTCACACCTTCGATCTCCAACAGCAATCCTCTGCTCGATCAGCAGTGCCTCCGTTCGCACAGCCCACTGTACCTCTGTCGTACCACAGGTTCCAGATCTGCTGTAAACCCTACCAATTGCCACTGTTGATGCTCCATCAACCGAAGATATCGCTGGATCTGCTAATCTCACAAAAAAGTGTTGTCGGATATCGCCACTACTGCACCAGAGTCGCCCATCTCTGGCGAGATTTCATAAGTTCCGAATATTAGTGTTGTTGTAGTTCAAATCCGGTTGTGTTTCAAATTCGGTTGTGGATTCAAAGATGGAAGATGCTGCGTTCTTGCGTGATTACTTAGGCGAGGAAACATATATATCTGACGTTGTTGTAGCATATTTGTAGAAGAATATGTTGATGATTGAAGAAGTTCATGAGGTGATGAAATTTTGGTGTTATAGCGATGAGGATGAAGCTGTTGTTGATGATGATTGAAGTCTCAAAGAGAGAATATTGTAGATAGATCTCATATTTCTTTCTTGTGAGTTTTCCTTTTGATTTTTCTATCATTCTCTCTTCTTTTTTTTGTTCTGAGTTTTTTTGTGCTGACTTTTTTTTTTGTGAAATCTCTGAATGAATGTCTTGTGCCCCTTTTCTACTTTATGGCTTGATGAATTTGTTAAAAGCTCAGTAAATCCTAGCTCTAGGATCAAAGAAGTTTGTTATGGCTAAATGAAGAGTTGAAATTAAATCTTGTTAGAGAAGTTTGCTGGTAGGGATGTCAATGGGGCGGGGCGGGGTCGGGGGGACACTTCCCCATCTTTTTCCCCGCCATCAAATTCATTCCCCGTCCCCGTCCCCGATCTCCGTCACGGGGGAATTTCTATCCCCATCCCCGTTCCCCGCGGATCCCCGTTCCCCGCGGGGATCCACATAGATCCTACATTTATTCATTAATATTTTATTTTTTTAAAATGTTTATATTTTCTATAAAAATAAAAAGCACAAAGAATTCACATATTTATTATGTTATTAAAAAATACTAGTATTTGACATTTCTCTCTCTTAATAAATACATGAATATTTATTTATTTATTTTTATAAATAAACATAAAGGAAATGACTAAAAAACCTAATCTAAAATATATATATTAAATTAACTATATTAAAATAATAGGCGGGGCGGGGTCCCCGCGGGGCGGGGGGTGTATTCCCCGTCCCCATCCCCGAAATGCTCTCGGGGGAATTTTTCTCCCCATCCCCGCCCCCACGGGGGAAAATTCCCCATCTTTGGGGCCCCGAACGGGGCGTTCCCCGCGGGGATCCCCATTAACAGGTCCAAACTGACATCCCTATTTGCTGGTTGTTGATTAGGGCCCTTTATTTCCTTTTGGTGAATTCCTTTAACAGGGCCCGGTATGTTATGGAAGGCTGTTATCTTGAACTTTTTTTTGCGTTTCTTTGCTTACTTAGTGTTCCGGTCCATAACAACACTCTTACTCTTTTCTACCCTTCTACTAACCCATACCCCATGTTCTAATTATACACCTCTATCTAATTTTTGGTTATTTTATTTTTTATTAGTTAATTATTTTGTCTAATTGGTTTTAGTTAATAATTAGATTTCTAGATGAATTTGTGTAATTATAAAAATATCATAAACGTGTACTGAATTAAATTTTTTACAAATTAATTCAAATAATTTTAATAGGATGTCTATCGTTGGGTAATTAAATCGGTCGACACATCGTCTACCGGTTTATTATTCAAAATCAAACTTCTTTTAATTAACTAAATCAATATTTTTTAAATATATTAAAACCCGCACAATTCATCAAATACTCTATCCGTGAATGACACGTGGCCAATATCTGGCCACGTGACGAGGAAACTATACCAGACTCCCCCCACTCTACGTCTTAATATATATAATCAACATCAAAACATTTTTCTACTAACATAATCAAAAATCTAAGATCATTTTTAAAAAGGATTAAGGAGAATTATTTTCAAATTAACTGTGAACTGCATCTACGCTCACATAACTTTCAACCCAGACAAGGTTCAAGGATAATTCAAAAGCAATTCTACGCAGTCTATAAAAAACACCAACCAACACCGCAAAATACAAATTGAGACTCTAATTCCTCCTAAGAGGATACGTAGGCATACGACTAAAATCGTGGTGATTTCTCCTAATAAAACATTAAAACCATATTTCCTTAAAAAAATTGCGCTTCTAACTCTAGTATCCTTGTGAACAAGGTAGATGAGGGGTGTCTAACACATTCCCTTCGTCTAAAACCGAGTTAAAAACCTAGAATCTCTAACTTTTTTAGGGTTATCATTTATATTTCCTTCCTTAGGATAAAAATTAAGGGTGACAACTCTAAAATTTAAAACCAGTTACAACAGTACGAACCAAAGATAAGCATTTGTTTCTAACATGACATTAAACATGGTAGCACCAAAAACATACTCTCGTCTTTGAAACAAAAAATACCTCACAATATTTCAAATATCAAACAAATATGCAACGTGCATGCTCGAGACAATAAGGAGGTAAGAGGACCAAGATCTGAGATGAAACAACTGTTGAAGCTTTTGGAAGAATGTTGCAACATTCTTAACTACCTATTTTTAATAACATGTAATGTTTATCTATGTACTGTTTATTTTGGAGTTAACTTAAGTTATTTCAATTTCATTTTGCCATTGTTGTTTCAGTCTGTTTCTGCTTTGACCTAATAAAGCATATTCCGGAGATGCATCTTCGGAAAGCTCATTGACAAATAAACTAAGGGGAATTTTGGAGATGCATCTCCAGATCAACCTTTTGTGCATTCGGAGATGTATCTCCGGATCAATTTTTTTTACAGAATAAGGGTTTCTCGTCATTTTTACTTTAGTTGTGTATGAAAAAAGTGCGTCCGGATATGCATCTCTAGATGCTGGAGACATTTTAGTCTTTTCACGATGGTCTGAGAGAAGCCATAAAGGTGAAAAGGCATAGTTAATTAATATCATAATACAATTAAATTGAGTAAAAATGTTATTTGATATTATACCAATTTCGTTGAAAACAAGTAAATGAGACGATTGATTTCAACAAAATTGATCTTCTAACAAACAATTTTTAAGACATCTTAGCAACTTCTAAAAAATCTAAGTAGTTATTCGTCTAACTAATTCTTAACATCCTCTGACCACTTAATAGTTAAACTAGACAATAAGTTGGGCAATGCCTAGTTCCTTGTTAAGATTAAAAATATATTTAAGTTTTCAAATCCTTGAATAAGAAAATTGAAATTCATTTTGCGCAATTGTTTCCAGTGATTTCTGGTAAACAACCGCTAGATTTGTTTCCAGTGATTTCTGGTAAACAACCGCTAGTCTTCCAAACTATCGAATAATCTTTCTTACTGCTATTCAATCTCTCTGGTAACTCACATGATCGACTAGATTGATCCTAGGATTCCTTGGATATTAAGGTTACTCTCACAATCGAACAGATATTCATGGTCAATATTGTATAGGTGTTTGGCCTGTTTCGATCTCTCTCTCTAAGAGTTTAAAGATGTAATCAAAACGTGTATGAGAATTAAGTCATACGAATAGATGCTAATTGTAATGCTGGATTGTAAAGACATATAAAACTGCATGAAAATGAAGTAAATGGTTTCGACTTACAAAAACGGTTAACATAAAGAGTTTCTGGAACATAAAAGTCTTAAAGGAAAGAGAAAGCGTTTAATGCAAGAAATCTATAAATGATTTTAAGTAAAAGTATGCGTTCGAAGGACAAGACTTGAATGTAAAGGTATGGAAAATGTGATAGCTTTCAGAAATATAAAATGCTCGAAACATAAAGAAGATAATAAAATGTAAGACTTTGAGGAAGAGACTTCGAAGTGAAAAGACTGTAGATAAGAAACTTGTAAATGTTGTTTGACAAAAGGAATAAAGGAAAGTACTGAAAATGGTAAAAGGTTTTCATTAAATCAGAAATACATGGTGTTACCATACATACATTTCTCTTGCATTCGTTTCCCTTGCCATGTGGTAGTTTGAATGTTATTGAGTAGTTTGTATAATAGATATGACACACTGAAATCCTAATACTAAGACTTCTATTTATACTAATTCGACCCTAACGGTCTCGCTATAGGATTATGCCACGTTTCGAACATGCAAGACAATGCTTCTTTCATCTTTCCACGTGTCCCCAAATGCTCCAACACATAACTTTCAAACTTTGAAAGTCCCGCTCCCATTTGAATTTAAAATACTTTGGTGTCTCTCCGTTTTGAACGCTTTTCCCAAACATAGCCTCGCTGTTGTTTCGAGACTCCTTTGGATATGTTCCCATAATTGCCGCTCGAAGCTTCAAGCTTTGACACACTTATTCGAAACACTGCTTCTGCAACTTCGAAATATGGCGTTTAATTCCATTTCGATCAGAACGTTTAACTCCTTTGGCTTCTAAATAACATTATCAAAATCTTCAGCCAACAAATTGCCCCTTTAAAATATGTATTTCGATTCCTTTGAGAAATACCTATTTTAAACATTTACACAAGATTTTGATAGGACTTTCGAATCATCGTAACATTTAATGCATTTGACTCCAGTCACATCAATCACAACACCTTTTGGATTCCTTAACCGCCCGGAGTCACTTCACAGCGTGGTGCAGTTATAAGTAATGATTATCTTTTAAATCACGCCTATTACCTATATCAACTTCACGCCACCTCTTCATCACACCAACCCATGATCTCCACGTATCACACTTCTATTCGGTGGATGCTTAAACTTCCCCATTATAAAACATCAACTTTAATCTTCTTCTTTTCTTTTCACACTCTAAACCTTTCATACTCTGAATTTTTACCCTCCTTCTCTCATAAAACAATCTAAGCTTTCAAACATCTCCCAAAATGTCTTCTTCTACTTCATCTCAACTCAAGAAAGTCTCCAAGAAGAAAGGAAAAACTACAGGAGCTCCCATGGAGAGTAAAATCATCACCATTCAAGGCCAATCTGCTCTTGCTCCTCAAATGATTTCCAAAGAAAAAGAAATGCTGTACGCATCACAGGTACTCATTCCTACCCACGTTGCTGGTAAGAGGTTAGCCTTAAATGGCCCTCTTACGGTTTTTGAAATATTAAAGGACACCAGGACAATTTTTCCCGTCTGTTATAGCTTCAAACCTTTATTCAACAAAATGGATGCCCCTAGGGCAGTAGAATCTCCTAGTTCAAATACCGTAGAAACCCCAACTGTTCCTCCCAAGGACCCCTTTGTTTTGGATTATGTAAAAAGCAATTTTAAACCATTTCGATCCTGCCCTACTTCTGATATTGCTTATCAAAATTGGTTCACAAAAGTAGAAGCCAAGAAATCCCAGCAATGGGAAGAATTAGGCATTTATAACCTGATTAAGCTATCGAAACCCGAATTCACCTACAGCCATCCTCTGCTATTCGCGTCCCTTTACTTCTGGGACAGTACCTACAACACTTTCCATCTCCCAGGTGGAATGATCACCCCCACCTTCTTCGATATAGCGGCCATTACTGGGCTGTCGCCAGTGGGAGAAACTTATGTTCCTGACAACGAAGAGCACTCAAGCATAATTGACTTCGAAGTCAAGTTAGCCAGCTTTTCCAAATTTATCAGCCATTATCATGCTGAAGGGGATAATGTGTCTGACGTAGAGCACATTGCTTTTTTAACCCTGTGGCTGTCTAGATACGTTTTCTGCAGTAGATCCCTGCAGGTGGCTAGTAGGTTCATTCCTCTAGCTAGGGATTTACACGAAAATCGAAAAGTGTGCCTAAGTGAATTACTCTTAGTTGACCTCTATGAAAGCCTGAGGTCAGCTGTTTCGAGCCTCAAATCCCACACCTCGAAAAACATTTTATTAACTGGCCCATTCTGGTTACTCCAACTATGGCTAAATGCCATGTTCGAACCCTCTTTATCCACCGCCAATACCATTGATGAGCAAGATTCTGAAATAAGTGATAGGATAGTCGAAGGCACTAGGCTTCGAAGACTAACTCCTAATGATGACAAAAATGACTTCAAGGTTCAATTCTCGAAGTACATCATGATATTCTCCAAAAGGCACAAGTTCGAAGAGAGCATGACGCCTTTTGCTTCGAGGGCTCATGGACCTTCTTGGTTCACCATGTCTCTCTCAGAAGCCATTAAGAGCAAGGAGATTCAGGATGTATGGAGAGCTTTCTTGCTGCCTAGACTCATCTCTTCAAGGATAACCCCAGCCAAGAACCAAATTCTTCTCTTTGCCTACCAACCAAACTTTGTTTCGAGGCAGTTTGGCTTATGCCAGCTGATTCCTGAACCTTTGTTCCAAACTGAGAGCGCCATCACTTCTGGACGAACTTTCAAGGCAAGGGAAGCCAAAATCCAACAAGAACAATATCAAGGCTTTGCCCAATTTGAGCTGATAGCCTTCG